AGGTGAATCAGTTCAAATGAAGGCAAGAAATTATAGTAAGAAGGGTGTCCTCACCTTCTCCACCGCAAGTCTTATAGCCGCAGTAGAGGTGTCTGTTAACTAGACTGTACTTCTTGCCAAGAAGGTTTTTACCACATATTGAACAGCAGAAGCACCGTTGATCGGCGTGCCATCTCATATCGCTCTGAAATGAATGAATGCAACGCAGTACATGAATTACTAGGTGAGGGGTTCAGCCAAAATAAACCTGCGAAATGTGCGGTTGGTCGAGGGAAATGGTTCCTGTGCAGGCGGTGCATGTGAGTGATGATGAGCCGTCCGAATGGAAACAAGTAAGACATACAGGCTTGTTGTTCCTAAATAGGAAAATAATCAGAAACAGTCTTAATGAAAGCGATGGCAAGCCTTCTTCGAACCTCTGCATGTACTTCTGCCCTCCCAATTCTTTGGAGCAATCGGCACACTGGAAATGATGATGATGCCATGTGCGACCTTCGGCTTCGGTGCATTCATCGCCAAAGATCAGCTAAATTGAAGTAACTTTGAAAGTAATATCCATACTCCCACTACTATCTGATGCAGCGTTAAGATATTAGTAACTTCCTTCACATTCCAGATCAAAAGGATAAAGGAAGTAGTTTCCCAGTTGATCAAACCCTCTTTGGGATGCGCATGCATTCTGCTTCCTTTTTGGGATCGTAGTGGTTTGTTAAGTGCGATATGGTACATACAATGACTTGCCGTGGCCAGCCGAAGTACACCTCAGTGTTTTTATCTCGCAAACGAATCTGGTACCAGTTTATCATCCTTAAAAGGTAAGAGTCCTGATGAGCTTGGTGAGGGCTGTCGGGGCTTATAAAGCCTGCTTAAGACGCTACGTGCCCTTACACTACGTCCGCATTTCCGAATGATCACCTTCCTATAATTCTCATTCCCAAAAAAAAACATGGCAAAAGATTTACGTAGTTTCTTCGTCTTCAACAAAGCAGACTTCTGTAAAGCAAGGAACAAAGCCTTCCAAAAACCAAATCAAAGCTTCGAACAGTCTCTTGTCGGAGATGAGCACACATTTTGCTCCATTCAGAAACGGAGTGGCTTGGATGGAATTATGGCCCCGATTACTCGAATGCCAAGTCCGCCTGTACACATCCAGTCGACCAGTCCAAGACATAGTTAGAGTCAATTAGTCGAACTACGAAGGACTGGAAATTAGTGTTAACTTGATGCGGGCCATGCCGTAAATCGCGGTTTCTGCACCAGTGAAGCGAATGAAGAGTGACCCTCATAGCCACTACAGAATTTCTGAAAACTCTCTCTAAATACTACCCACCATCGCTTAACTGAAGTATGGATTTAGTGATGGCTGTATGCGGTCATAATACAGTTGACGAATCCTGCTATTCTTAGTGCCTATTGTGTAGATGAACTTGGTTGGAAATTAGAGGCAATAACGAGGCTACCCACGGCACGGTCCTTTGATCGAACCTCTTGAACGTAAAGCGAGCCCTTCTGTTCACCTGAAATCGGAAAATTAGCAAAATCTAGTCCATGGGAGGAAACCAATACAGGGAATGTTTCTCGGAACGATGGCTTCTCCGATGGGTGGAATCCTTCCATCGCCAGCTTGCTCGGTGTTCACTCGTTTTGGTAGTCCATTGAAGCCTGAGAAGAAAGAAACTTCGGGCCAAGTGAAGCCTCGCCAAGTCTGGGTGAATGTTGGGATCCTTTCTTTGTTTTGCCTAGTCGTCAGCGACAGGTGAAAGATGGGAGCCCTGATGGGACGCAACCAATACGTAACGACGTTGCGAATTCGTGAGATGCGCTACGATCATCATATGGCTTATCCCATGCATACGTTAATGGTCCGGTGGTTAATCCCATACGGTGAACTGCCATGCTCAGTAGCTCATTAGCATTGTGTATGCTGATTGTCATTGCTGTCATTTCACTGCTTTCATCTTCGTCAATTGCTATTTTAGCCATCTTAGATGGTTATCAGCAGCAGGGGATGATGAGGCGTTGATTTGGCACGGTTACTAGCCTCATATTCTCGGAAATCAATTGCATCGAGAAGTTTTCTCCGATGACTTGGCAGGCAAGACCAGGACAACATGTTGCATCAATTACGTCCCAGCACAACAATCAACGGCATCAAGTGCCGATAGTAAATCGCCGTCAGCAAAGCTCAGTCAGTTTAATGGTTGTTGAAAGGAGCTGTGCATTCAAGTGAAGGAAAAGAAGAAGATTTCAAGTGCCCTTTGAGTGAGCGCTGAACCTGGCGCTCATATAGACCCATCAAGTCATCTATTATTATATCGCAATAAATCGTTGGAGTCTCTGATAGCAAGAGGATGACAAATTTCCTTCTGGTTCCCCTATTTGAAAAGGGCAAAATCATAATGTGAAAACACGAACCATTATTGATGGGAGTCAAATTATTTAGCTTCTCTAACTCATTAGGCGGGTGTGGTGTAGTGGTGATAGGTCCGCGTACCGCGCGCGCCGTCCGGTGGTCAGATTCCGGATCGGCTACCGTACCGCACAACCAAGCCTTCTATCTTCCATGGATGGCAAATTGGTAACAGATTGTCTGCGAGGATGCGAACCAGAGCACGTCCTGCGGGGGAATTTTTCGG